AGAGAGAGAGAGAGAGAGATAAAGAGTACGGGGAGAGAGGGGGATGAAGAGAAGAGAGGAGAGAGAGAGAGAAAAAGAGAGAGAGAGAGAGAGAGTGAGTAGAGAGCATTGCCTAAAACAAAGTATAAAGAAGACTAGCTTTCAAACTGCAAACTGAACGCTCCATGCCAGAGATAATTTCACATATGCCGAGTCCCTTGGGTCTCTACCAGTGTTTTGACTCACCACAGACATGGAGACCAGGAGCTTCCTGAAGTGGCCAGATGTCTCACTGATGATGTCATCCTCCAGTTTCCTTCCATACACTGTGAGAGAGTTACGTAGAGAATAAAGCTGTCTTTACATGTATCTCAAAAATGGAATAATCCCTATTGACATTAATTCTTTACCTCCGAAAGGGTAAAGCCACTATGCCGGGGCGATTTTTTGGTACTAAATCTAGAAATGACCAAAACTTCACTATAGTAGTCACAAAATTAAAAGAAGTGAACCTATTTTGAACCGTAAAACAGTGCCGAGTTGTCTGTCCAACAATACACAGCCTTTTCCCCACAATGACTAATCAAACTTAAACAAATATTTAAGCTGAAATAAGAATAATAACACAAGAAAAGCAGTGCATTTTATAACAAATAAAGTTAATAAATGTATTTTTACACAAACTCATCAATGGCAAAATATACATTTTTCCCCAACTTCAAAGACAGCTACAACATGTCAATCCCAGTTCTAAAGAGACACCTGAACGAAACTTCCAATTCTATGCAATAACTGATTTCAGGATTGAAGTCAAAATATGCAAATATAAAACTTACTAAGTTTATACGCTGCCGTAAGAGAATGGATTTGAGCATTGGTTCTTGTGCACAAAATTTCAATCAGTGCTGCCTCATCTGTTCCGGCTCCCTGAGATTAGACAGAAAAAGTCACATGAGCAAGTCTTGAAACAATGAGGTACAAATGAAATACAGATCTTTTATTCAAAGTATGCATTGTCCCCCCCCACCAAAAAAAAGTATAATATTGTCTTCACATTTATAGCAGATGTCACAGCAGAACTTCTGTCAAGGGTAATAGAAAATAAAATGATATCAACTGAAAGATGACACTATAAACCTTTTGAAACAAGTGAGCTTTTGATTTCCACCTTGCTAGCCATCAGACTATAGAAATTGATATTCAACAATTGTGCAGTGGCACTGGATAATCCTTCACACAGGTCCCAAAATCATTGTTGATTTATGACAATATCAAAATCTTCTGCCAATTCTGGGCATTTCGCTTATCATTTGAAGTCATCATCTCTTTAAAATCAAAAGTCATAAAGGCACATGTGATACCAGAGTCATTCTTTCCTCTTGACAGAACAAACTAAAAACCAGCATATCCCAATATCAATGCTTGTGAATTTGACGTTTCTTCAGGGGTCAACCATGGTCTCAACTTAGAATTTTTAAAAAGGAGGAAATTTCCGTGTGATCGCGACAGAAAACCATTTTCGCTAGACACTCAGTATTATTATAATAAATACTGTTTAACCCTAGAAAGCTGAAATAAAAACCATCAATTTATCAAAGCAAGATTATTTCATATCAATTAGAGGGTTTGGAAGATAATTTCAAGTGAGAAAGTCACTTACCAAGTATTTATAATCTTGATTATGTACAAAAGTACAAAAAGTGGTAGCGGAGTTTAGCGGAGGAAATGGCTAGCGAAATCCGCTAAATAGCGGAATATTGAGACCCATGGTCAACATATGAATTTTAGCAGAATTTTGACTGGACATAAACATGAATCTCTTACTTCAGAGTAGAAAGCGGTGTGTTTATGATGGTGAATTTTTTAAAAATTTAAAACAAAAATTGACAGCTGAAGGAAACCATGTGGCACCAAGTGAGGAAATTACATCTGGCCAAAAATACAGAATACCAACCCGCATGGCACGGCGCAACTCGTAAGCATCAAATTCTTCTCGCTTCATCATGAGGGCAACAGACGCATCTTCAAACCTGCCTCCCAGCTCACTCTTCAGGTCACTGACCAAGTCCTGTAGAAGAAAAACCAGTGTTTTGTCTTAAATTAACATATCTATATACAGAAGAATTTATACATTTTCTTTTACCTTTCTTTTTTGAGGAAGTGTTTTACAGCGCTCGCAATTGCATAAGGTCATATGAGCACGTATATATACATTTTCTGGGAAATTTTAAAAATGCAAAGGCATCACTGCTTAAAAGACATTTTTGCATGTATCTATTTTTCAACCATTCTCTCCTTTGTATATAAACATTTTTAAAGCACAATTAACGCTTTTATACTAGCCAATTTTGGACAGAGTAAGTGAGCATTTCTTTTTTTATTCTTTGAACCAATGAGATAAGTGCTCTTAGCAATTTCTTTCTTATGTCTTGGGAGGTAAATGAATTAGTTTTGGATAATGGAATTGTACAACAACAACAAAAAAAACCCAACCAACTTCACTAGGGGAATTCCTGGCATGAGCTGATAATTACTTAATTTGTACTTAGCAGTGACTGAAAGTATCAGAGGGGAACACAATGTTAAAAAATCACTCAGACTATTAACAAATATGCATAATCTACACAAATCAACATGAAACAGAAAATCCTCTGCAAAATAATAGGAAGTCTGGTGAAGGAGGATAAGACCTACCCGGCCAAAGCATGTCTTGTACATCATCTTAATGTTCTGTCTCTGGTCACAGGAGCGGTGACCAAGCACATCTATGATGGCCTTTTCATCAGTGCCTGACAAGAGATGAACAAAAGCAGTTTTGCTAATAGTAATTGAGCAAATTCAATAAAAACCTTACTGCCAAACTAATCTTATACAAAATACACTCCATATAAAATATAAAACACTGCAAACTTCATTATTCTGTGCATTTTAGGAAATACATTGTACTAGAGGATGGTGTCTCTGCTCACAATGTTCGACGTAGGGTGTAGCGAAGCTGTCATGCAGTGGTCAAACCAAATGTTCTGATCAGAAAGACACATTATGAGGCCAAACAGCAAGAAACACCTTGTCCTTTACAACCATAAGGGTTAAGTATGCCCAGCAGTTGAATTGAGAAGTTTGACCACAATATTTCATTTTTTAAATTTTATTATAGTAGAGGGTTTTCATGTAAAATCCCAAAGACAATGGCTCATTTCAACGGGATTTGAACACCAAACAAATATCCGCAAACGACTTTTGTCATGCAAATCATATCATATTGTCTTTAATCTTTCAATAGATACCATCATTTAAACCAGATTATTCACAACAAGTGGTTCGGACACCTCACGCGGATGCCCTCAAACCATCCAGCTCTGAGAGCATACAACACTAATTATTCTGGATGGAGAGCCAGAGGAAGACCAAGGCGACGATGGAGTGAATCTGTGGCAGACACCCTTAGAGATCATGGGATGTCCCTCATACAGGCCTCACGACTTGCTGCAGACAGATGCCTGTGTCTCCCCGCGACACCCCAGGGTACAAGCGGAAGAAAAAAGTTAAAGTAAAAGTAAAGTAATTCACAACTGAGTACCCAGGTTTGCTGAGGGTCCCCGCCTTGGCGTCACTGCTCCTACTGGTCTACACCAGAGGCATTTTACATCGACATTGCTGTCTAGCCTTTCACAGTCACACCTGGCTTCTAGATCTATATTGCTTTAGATTAGGTCTGCCTCAATTAACTCCTCTTTTGATCTACATTGTTTTAGTGTATTGCTGTCTAGCCCTTCTCAATCATAAAATACGGGAGTTGCCTTACGCTATCACAAAAAAAGAAAAAAGAAAATAAAAATCCACCAAAGGGTTGCTACACTGCAAAAGGAACACACAGACGTCTTCAAAATCACACAGGCCGTGTCTATCGCTTGGTCACTTTCCTCTGACAGCGTCAAAAAAAATTCTAGCTCATTGACAAATTTGCCTAAGCTATGCCCACGAAACTTTGCAAGGCACTTCTACAGGCTAGCGACCAAACAAAAATATTTTTTCAAAAATAGACCTGCATGTGAGCCTGAACCAGAAGGTCTAAAAATTTTGCGCACTCCCCCCCAGAGCTTTTGTGGGTGTCATAAAAGGAAGGACTTCCATGTAACGAGCGACAACCCCAACAAACACAATAAACCCTACCCCTAAAAAGCACCTCCAATGGCCCTCATGTAAAAAGGCCAGCAGCACTAGTCCAAAATATTTTTTAAAAAACCACACTCCAAAACAAACAAAAGGAGCATAATAATATAATGCATGGAGTTAACGAGAGCACACTACACCGGCTTCTGATTGGCTGTATATAGTGACGTATGTACACATACCAAATTTGGTAATATTACTATGACCTTAGGCCTAGTGGAATGTAGTAGGAAATCTAGGTCACCATTGAGCGAGCGAGTGTCTGCTGGTGATCTCTATTGTAGAGCAAAGGCCAGGCAAAGATCAGTACAGATAAAAACAGCAGTAGATCACTAGTTTCTACCCCCTGTGTCAACTATAGGACATAATATTGTTCTAGTTCCTTGTTAACCAAGTCACTGTAAAATAGATATGTGAAGTCTAAATGACTCTAAATCTAGTAATACATTTTAGCCAATCAGAAGCCCGAGTAGACTATCGTCCTCATGACGTCGTTTCATTGATATTTTAGCCAATCAGAAGCCGGTGTAGTGTGCTCTCGTTAGCTCCATGTTAATATAATGGCCTACATTGTTATTATAGGGTTTGATACAATAACACAATAGAATTGGAATGAATCCCCCTTATAGTAATCTAAATAAATCTAGATCTAGATTTAGTAGAACAAGTGAATAGGAATAGGCCTTGAACAAGAAATTGGCATCCAATTCCGAACACAGGGACTCAGCTGAGTCTAGATCTAGATTCTAAATAAATAATTTAAGCATCTGATGAAATGCTTTTTGCCAACATTATTAATGCAGCACAACCTATAATAGGGTTCGACACTATAGAATTAGAATATGAATCCTCCATTGAGGTCTATAATGATCTATATAGATCTAGATCTAGTAGAACAAGTGAGTCGGACTTGAATGAATCCACATGATCTGAACAATCAGTAAACAGATGAAATTCAAAATGGCCACTCGAGCACAAAACTGAAAGCAGATCATTTAGGTCGTTGTCCTTTTTCGTATTTGTATTTCTACTCAGGTTCCGACAATTATGTCGGAAACGCCGACGTCGGCACGAAAACGAAAGTGCTGAAAAAAGCCGACGGGAGAAAAATCGGGCGCTGGCAGTCGGCCAGGCCTCGCACTTCGCACATTGACCAATACAGGAGGGGGGGGTGGCGCCTAGCAATAGCATCGGCCGGCTCACAGTTCAGGTCGCGATTGTCCGATTTCAGACGATTGTCAACAAAACTTGAAGGTCTACAAAAAATCTTGACCCAGTAATTAAAAAGTTTTTCTTTTTTGGCCCTAGGTTAAAAACAACTCTTAAGATGCATGCACAAGATCACATCTCCACGTACTACAGGTGAGTCTCGAAAATTACTAACTCAGTCTCTTGAATCGTGTTTCTTAGGCGAACGCTAAAGAGAAGTAATGAACTTCCATTGTGAAGGAGAGCTACACAGATTTGTTTCGTTTCTCAGTAGAATAATCAAAGGCCAAAGAAGGAGGGGAACTTTTTGTCAAATACATTTTTCGAAATTCAGGAAATGAATAAATAAAAAATCGGGCTCCGTCATGGGGATCTATCTATCTTTTTGCAGGTACTTGCCAACTTTCAACTCTGTAGCTGTCGTAGTTTTCTGGGAAAAGTGACACATGTGTTTCCAAGTTGCCAAATATATTCACAATAATAACTTACCAAGTCCCTTCATAGCTTTTCTCAAAACCTGCACATCTTGTTCTACATTGAAGTTAGAGGCTGGCTTGAGGGTACCCTCCTCCTGATGACAGACAAAGGGAGAAAAAAATTCCTTGAAGGTTCTATTTGTAACTGAGCATGTACCATCATACACACCTCTGACTGCAAATATAGACTAACATACTGCAATGAACAGAAATCATACCATGACATTAACTTATTACAAGCAGACAGAATATATATGTACATAAATTATAGAGGTTCAAGACACACCTACTTTTGAATGTACTTGAATCGTCTATGTCACAATCAGACCAGAAGGTCAACAGATTTTTAAAAAAATCTTTAAGACAGTATTCCTAATCATAGCTACATCTTTCACATCAAAAGGATACATGGTGATGGGGTGTAATGGGAGACAATGTGACAATTTCTCTTATTTCTCATCATCGTTGTTTACTTGAAATACGGATATGTTGAATATATTAGTCAATCCCTGAGATGTTCAGGATATCCATGCTTAGCTGTAATTACATTCTTATATCACAGTGCAACAAAAGGTAGAACAAACTATATTTATAATACCAATCTAGAACCCAATAAAGAAAAACAAAACTAAGGATATATTCTACAACTAAACTTATACTATATAGTACAAAGAGGATGGAATAAGCAAGCCAATGTTTGACCTATGCTGCTGTTTACTTTGCAGCACAACTATTAAACAAGCTTGAAGGGACACTAAAATACTGACCCACCATAGAGAGAGCAAACATGTTTGTCTGAGCCAGTCCTACAAACCCACTTTAGTCAAATATTTATCCTGGAGACTTGAATTTAAAATAACCACCAAAGCTAAACATGGCACAGGTTAAACAATTCATGGCTAAATTTTGTCATTCTTTGAAAAGGGCAACAATTGAGTCTTTAATTTAAAATAGTCAACATTGTCCAAGACGGCCACCCATTGTCAAGGAGAAAAGTTGTCATCTTAGGCAGCTGGATGGCTTGGACGGAGGCATTATAATATTTTTTAAAAACACAACGGGCGAGAGGAAAGTGGTGTTTGGTGCTGGTTACTGTCTTGCTGTTAGAGCAGGTTCGAGTGTATTGTTTTTCCAAGAAGAGGTTAACTCACATGAATCTTGTACTTGGCTGGTCCAGGAACATTGCCATAGTTGGCAGAGCCTCCACCTCCTCCTTGTCCTTGTCCATAGCCTCCATAGTTAGCAGGAGGCTGCTGTGCAGGGGCTCCACCGTAGCCCCCTGGAGGGGCTCCATAGCCACCCGCGGGAGGATGTCCACCTGGGGGTGCCCCATAACCGCCGGGTGGCTGGGTGGCCGGAGGGGCTCCATAGCCCCCTGCCGGCTGGGACATGGGAGGGGCACCATAACCACCCGGGGGCTGGGCAACTGGGGGAGCCCCATAGCCCCCTGCAGCTGGAGGAGCTCCATAGCCCCCTGCAGCCGGGGGAGCCCCGTAACCACCCGCTGCTGGTGGAGCCCCATATGGCGGGGCTCCTCCCTGGGGTTGTCCGTAGGCTGGAGCGGCACCACCGTAGCCTCCAGGGGGCTGTGGGTTGTAACCTGGGGCGGGAGCCTGGCCTGGGTAGCCTTGACCTGGATAGCCGGGCTGGGGCGGGTAGCCTCCTGGTTGCTGAGGGTAAAAGAGACATGGTGTTGTTAGTTCAAGCTGACCTGCAAATAAAAAAGATTCTCAAAGTGAAAAAGTGTCAATCACGGGATCATTTCAAGGAAAAGAGGAACGAAAAAATTCTCAATATTGAATCATGAAAGAATGCTAAACTCTTACAGCAGAATACCAAGTACGAGTAATATCCTACATGTATAAAAAAAAAAACCATCAGTCAATCGTACACAAAAGAAAATCATTTCGTGAATCACTTTCCCAAACACCTGACTGAAGTACATTTATATCACATTATCTAGAAGAAAGATATTAGAGGGTGCGTTGCGTTCTGTCACAGGTGGTATCTAAAATAAGAGGACACATAACTCATTGAGATCACACAATCCTATTCCCGATTTGCTCCACACAATGCAGTATTTTGAAGTATTTTCAAAGACATTCTGCAAAGACCCCCCAAAAAGATAGAAGTAAACAGGTGGGGTGGTTTTTTGGGGGGGTTTTTTGTTGTTTTTTTGTGGGGGGGAGTTAACTTATCATCTTAATAATTAATATTAACCAATAAATCATCAATCTAACACAAACCCTATTTTTTTGTTACAATATTATCATGGGTCTCAACTCAGAATTTTTAAAAAGGAGGAACTTTCCATGTGATCGCGACAGAAGCCCATTTTCGCGAGACACCCACTATCATTATACTGGTGGACCCTAGCATGTTGAAATAAAAACCATGAATTTATCAAAGCAAGGTTATTTCATACCAGTTTGAGAGTTTGGAAAATAATTTCAAGTAAGAGTCACTTACCAAATATTTAAAATCTTGATTACGTACAGAAAGTGGAGGCGCACTGTGGTCTTGTGCGACTTATTTATATTTTACCTTCATCATATTTGCCTGCATATATAAACTATATAAAAATGAAACTTGTTTTGAGCCTGGGAAAAGGCCTAGAACCAGAATATCGACTGCCATGAACCAGTCTGGGTGTAATGATTCATATAATAAACGTGAAAGACAAAATGAATGCTCAAACTCAAAGTAGAGTAATAACTTGAATAGCTCAAGTAAACCTATTCAGTTTGAGAGGTGTAAGAACTGTGGGAGGGCAAGATGCAGTGACACTGAAAATCTGCGAATCTTGAACAAAATGCTAAAATATAGAGACATAATTTACTGTCACCCATCCAATGAAACGCGAACACTTTGGCCCCTGCCATAGTTCATTAACACGCTTACAAGTAGTTATGACAGATCCCGATTATACACAAGGCATGCACTAACGCGCACTTTACTTTGCAGAGAGCTGTAGTAGTAATCAAAATTCTAAATATTAAAATTTGCTTCCAATTTCTTTTCTTTTTTTGTCCTCTGGTGTTTCGTCCAGCCCTCCCCCCATCCCCGAGTGTATCTTTTTTTTAAAATCAATAATCTCCCCCCTTTCCGGAGTCCTGTACTTCACAGCGCTCAGAACGCGCGCAGGTTCATTGACCGGTCACAATGAAGAGCCCGACAAGACGCTAGTACAACTTTCTTTTCTTTTTTCTTTTTTTGGCCCCCACAAGAGACAGCACAGCGACGAACATTATTTTCATGGCGACACCACGTTTGTAATACAGAACCTGCATGTAACAAGTGTTGCGTATTCAGATTTCTACACAGACAATTTTCTGAGATCTTGATTTTCCGGTCGAGCCTCGGTGTCACATACAATTCGCTTGCCGCCATAGCCGCCTGTTCGCGTGGAACGTACTCTCAGACCGGGAAAAGCCAAATTAATATCACAATCGCGACCGGCAAAAATGAACTTAAAGACGTTATCGGATTTGGTTTTCAAATAATATTCGAGATCTTTTATGTACTTTCCCGCGTCTCGGCGATTTTTTTTTTTCAAATTCCCGGGTAATCCCCGAGGCCTGGCAGTCACTCTGCTACCAGCAACTCTATTTCTGATTGACCCGCTGTCGCGGTAGTGGAGTTTTGCGGAGGAAATGGCGGTAGTGGAGTTTTGCGGAGGAAATGGCGGTAGCGGAAATAGCGAAATATTGAGACCCATGTTTTATGAACTTGAAGGCATAACATCAGTTTTTTAATTCTTTCTTTATGCTTAAGCAAAAAGCATAAGCGAAAATTATTTTTGAAGCACAAGCTGAGAAAAATGTTCACTTTTTGCACAATCTAAAAGACAAATACCAGTTTAGAAGTACCTAAATTTTATTAGTATAAACTCGGACCTTTGCTTTTCCTTTCACCATCTTGAAAAAAAAATGTTAACATTACCATTCATATCTGAACAGCACCGAGTGGACCATTGTGAAGACTACTGGTCATATGCGTCTGGTGTGGTCTCAATGAGTTAAGAGAATTTTGATACCAAGGCTGAATAAAATTAGAGCACATAAAAAGGAGATAAAGGAAGAAAAAAAAAAAAGCTCTTACCAAAAAGGATAGGATGTGATGACCAAACTGACACAATATTAACGAGCAAGGATCATGCTGACATTGATAACAATATATAAGAACATTGCTATATATGCCGGTCATTGCAGTGGAATCTGGCACTTGTCATATCGCAGGGAATGGAGAAATCAGTATTTTTCAGACTGTTGGGTGGACCTTTATTTTATTTCATTTCATTTATTTCACTGGTACACCACGCAACCCCCTGCCTTCTTTAATCGCACAATATCTCCACTTTTAAGCAAGAAAGTTTAATATTTTTCACCCAATTCAAGAAAAATAAACAAGCTTAAATTTTATAGCAATAACTCTATATATGCCCAAAAATTGAAGAGCGCCTGATTCTACCACGCTGTGACATAAGTAATATTATATTTGAGAAGAAAAAATACAGCTGCTCTTTCTGAACCTAGCCTACTCCTAACATCTTCTATAGGTAATTCCACAATACGAGTGCCGAAAAAATCTTGCCTTTGTTTCAACCAACTATAAAGTCCCAGTGCAGTGGTGCAAAAAAAAAAAAATTGCATAAAAAGGTAAGAAAGGGCAAAAACTACAGGATGGGTTACTTGGCTACTTTGAGCAACCCCAGGAGGCAACACGTGCCAGTCAACGACTTCATTCTCTACATTACAGAAGACAGAAAGCTAAACAATCCTATGTTTTTTTAAGCTTTTTTTTTTAAGAGTGATGTGCAAATTTGTGGGATTATATAAAACAAAATAAAAAAAAAAAAATTTAAAAATATATATATATATATAATATATCTGATAGTATAGCATTTTCAACACATTTCAGCAAAGCAAAGTCAAGTTCAACTTATTTTGCTCTATAACCATAGACAGTAAGTAAATAAATCCCACAGTACATGTTAATGCTTTACTCACACATGCTGACTTAGAAACAGCCCCAAAAAACAAAAAAAGTTAAAGCAAACCAGAATAACCCATCCAATAATTGACAAAACTGTGAAATCGCCAAAGGTATACATCACAAGCAAGCAGCACGACAGAAGCCCCTGCCGACCAAACAAGCACCCACCTGTCCTGGGTATGAGGGCTGTGCCCCGGGCATCGGGGCAGGGTAGCCAGCTCCGGGCATGGGGGGACCCGTCTAAAGCAAGGAGGAGGGAAGATGATAGCTCTGTCAAGTCTACGCTAACAAACTAGGCTGGCAGCTACAATTCCCTAATATAAACACTACAGTCATATTTTTTTTTTCTAACTGGCTTGGGACTTACAAATTTCAGTTTGAGTTGTCTTTCAAGTTAAGTTTTGTAATTCGTCTGGAACTCCTCAGACACAAACAGCATCCAGCTAAATGTTACTTTAAAGGTGGTTACGTTCAAACCCCTGTCAGCTCCAAAGTTCTGATACAAATCTCAAAATAAGCTTCATTAGGATACCCATTTCACTGACAACAAATAAATCGTCTTGGAAGCTTTTACAATAAAATCTTAACTTGTTTTATTATTCTAAAAACAGTGAAAACATTTAGCAAGAGTATCATGTTCACTCTTTTAAAGTTTCGTTTACTTAAGAATCCCCCCCAAACTGCGGGATAAAATATTTTCTTGCAAACTGACCTCTAAAAATCATTCGCAAGCTTTCTCAAGGTATTCTCATTAAATATTGAATACAATCCAGGCATAAAGGAATAATCTGCAGAGGCAAAGTGCTTAGCGCCTGCTAATTTATGCAGGGAGAATGAACTGCAAAAAACACTATATAAATGGGAATTGACAAACAAATTAGATAGTTAAGTTAAGAAAGAGAGAGACACACACACACATATGACACAGACAGACAGAGAGAGAGAGAGGGGGGGGATGGGGAGGAAGGAGATCAGGATTTTAAAAAGCAAAAGAAAGAGAGAGAGAGGGAGAGAGAGAGAGAGGGGGGGGGAGGGGGGAAGAGAGGGAGAAGGAAAGGAAAGGAGGGGGAAGGAAAGGGACCCCAATATCACCACAATCTACACAGCGTTATATTCAGAAAAAAAAAATAGGTAATGACTTGGTATATTGTGCAAGCATGCAGTACAAATAAGATTGCCCATTAACCTTGAACTAACCATATTTAAGAGAAGATAGAGAAAGAGTTTCCATCTAAACGCCACCAATACACCTTTTTCATGCATAAGAAAACCCAAAGCATAAAGCTGTATTTTGTATTTTATTATTTTATCATATAATCTATTATCTAATATTCAGTCTGAGAGGTTAATCTAAGTGCTAGCTAATTTATACTGTTATAAATTAAATTTACATAGAAGAAAAGTACCAATGTACAGGGTAAAATACAAGATATATGGAAAAAATGTGATATGGCAAAAAATTGTATAAAAGGGAAATTGAAACAGCAAAAGGTATATATATATATATCTGAAGCTAACAACAAAAAGTAAATGCTCAAATGTATAACAGTGTATACCACCAAACTTACAAAAAATAAAGATGCAAAACATGCATTATAATAATGATCCTCTTTTACATTCACAACCGTTTGTATCTTCTTAATTATGAAATAGCAATATTTAATATTTTAACATAGGTCGAAATGACATTTTCTAAAGGGCACTGACTTTATTGTTTAGAATTTATAATTAGATTTTTAAAAACTAGTTAACTGTTAAAACAATAGCATGCAACAAATTCATTTTTAATTTGAGACTATATCAAATTACAGAGTACTCCTAGACTCAAGAAATGTTTTATTTGGGGTTTTTTTTATAACAATGTGAGTTAAAACAAAATTATACATATTCTCTTCATTGCCGTAACTGATATATTGATTCAGAAGCTTGTGCCCTGAAACTTTTCTATAAAGAGCACTTATTCAATTTACAGAAAATAAACCAATTTTTAATCTATAAAAACAAACAAAAATAATACAAAGTTCAAACAATGACACTTACATTAAATCCAATGCCCCCAGGTCCTCCTGGCTGTGGGGCATAGGGTAAACCACCGGCAGAACTTCCATAGGCAGCAGCATTAGCAGACTCTGGAGTGGGCATTCCAGCCTAGAAGAACAAGTCAAACAACACAAAGTCAAAGGTGCTCAATACTGTCATTTATATTTTTACTTGACAAATCCCTCTCTTTCTCTCTGACAGATTGCCAATTTCTCTTTCATCCTTACACTGAACACACATGTATTCTTTTGAACACACCCAATCAAATTATGTTTAGAAGAATTTCGCAACAAAGACAAACATTTCCATGATCAAAACAATTCTGTTTAACTACTGAAGAAAAAACAGACAGCAGAAATTAAATTTCGTCCTTGAGCATTGTTTTGATTTATGTTATTTGTCTCACCTTTGCAGCGGAACTGAATTTTTCCTCCAGTACAATGATCACCCGTAAGGACATTTTCTAAATCACCAGCTCCTTCCTATAGCACGACAATTCTTATGCTGGTGTCAAAAACAGATCAGCCAACCAATGGGTCATTTTACTTGGAACAGCCCTCTTTTATCCCTATTTGAAATTGTCACTTTGTCAAGGAGAAAAACACACATAAGGGCAGGGTGTGAAACAGAATTGAGCAATGAGAAAAGCCAGTGACAAGTAATGCATGGGGGAGCAGACAGTGTGCGATAGCTGTGCCTCAGCTATGATGGTCATTGTCTGTGATCGCTTGGCATTGGAAAACTTCACACCTCCAGTAGAGCTCAGCTCAATGACGAACCCCATGGCAGGAGATCAGATGATAGTGATTCATATTGACAATCAACGATGTACTGCTCCGTGGACTACAGACTTTTGTATAAGAGCACTCTTTTCTTGTTTTACTTGAGGTAAATACGCTATTAACTGGACGCTCTTAAGCACAAGGGGGCTATCCTGAAAAATGCTGTTTTGAGAAAATCGAAGGTAAAGTTTTAGGACCCATGGTCAGTTTCTTTAAAAGACAAGGAAGAGTTTTCTCTACAACCAAACAAATATACTTTATATACACACTAATGAAACTAAACTTCTCCTATAGGTATGGTAATCATGGTAATGCCCACTTTTGGTGTAGGTCAAGACTTCTGTAAATCTCCGAAATCTGGGTTAGCCCGCTTGTCCTTAAAAGCGACCAACTGGAAACTGCTTATTTTTACTTACCCCTCCAGGAGGTGGGTATCCGCCGGGCTGAGGGTAACCAGGTGCTCCAGGGAAACCAGGCTGTTGGGGTGGATAACCTCCTCCTCCATATGGTGGGTAGCTCATGATTGCTTATGAAGTGATAACTTTTTGGACGAGAAAAAGAAAAAAGAAAGAGAAGACATTAATACTTGAAACTAAACAACTTTCATACATTAAAAGTAAAGTTAAACCTTCATTATACACAAACTTCACTGGACAAGTCAAGTTCTTCGTGTTAAGGCCACAAACATGTTTTTGGGGTTCAGTTTGGGGGATTTTAAGAAACTTCTCTTGAAATTATGCATTAAATTGAATGAAAGTAATTTCAAAGAGATAGCTCCATAAAGTTTTTTCATTGTGAGCCAATACAATGCTTGAAAGCAATTTTACGTTTCTGCCAGTTTTCTCAAAATGTTAACTTAATGACTTTAGAGCTAAAAACTCAAAAACCATTCAAGACAAAGACATGGAATTTGGAGGATGCATGCAATTTCAGATAATTTTACGCTAGCTTTTTCTTAAACTAGAAAAACACATTTTTTTAATAGATTCTTTTTTTACTCCGCTGTTTTGATTATTTTTGCATAATCGCCATAATTCAATGCAAGTTTTCTAAAAGTAGTAAAATTATTCAAGTTTACAATTTTAAAAAAAACTAGTGTGCATTTCTTGAGATTTGTGTGCTGATTACAAATATATATATATATATATATATATATATATAAGTGTAATTATTTCATAGATAGCATGAATTGATTTTGAGATTTATCTTTTGAAAATGGCCCTTAAGATAGCCTGGTTTTGCTCTTATTTGCCATTTTTATGACCACGTAATTGATAATGATTATCAAAACTGGAAATTTTTTATTCTTGAATGAAATACTTTGTGAGAAAATGAGAAAAAAAACAATTGAAAATCACTCATGATTTTTTGTAGATTTTATTTCTAAGAATTAATATGTGGCCTTATGTAGAAAAAGAGGGGGAACCCGGGGGGGAACCCCCCCCCCCCCCAGATATAATTAAATTCTTTCGTTGTAACAAGAATATATGTGTTAAATGACAGTGTTTTATAAAGTAAGTCTACTGTAAACAATTTTACACAGCTTTCTTCCAATTTATTTTAAAATTATATATTTGAACACAAACAGTTTAATGCATGACGTTATTTAAATCCAATCTTTAAGAAATGCATAGAGAAAAAGAATAGGAAAAAAACATTAACAGTCTGAAGTCTCTATGGAGGAGACAGAAGTTACAAAATCACTCAGTAATATCTCTTCGATAAAAACCCCAATACAAATTCCTGAGCATCTTTACACTTATTAATTTCAGCATGAGTTACAACAGGAACCCCATGTTATCACAGTTCAGGAAGTATTATAATTATACTCTAGCTGAAGGGTACTATTCTGTTGTCCTGCTGAGACCCAAGACATTACCACACACAGTTACCTCTGCCATGTTATACACATAACATCATGTAAACATGTTCACATGGACATATAGTGTACATCAACAGGGCTTGAATTAGGTGTTCCGGAGGGCAGGCAAAAATTGCCTCAGTGGGGTCTAAAAATCAGAGGGCACCGAGGTAATGTGCTAGGGCGCCAAGGCAAAAAATTATAGGTGATGGTTTTAAAATCACATTATACTTATACTAGAGTGAGTCATATTGAAGTCTAAAGCTATGCGTACACATATCATAAATTCACTATTATCTCTTGCAGGCACACACACACACTTTTCCATCCCTCTATCATCCCCCAAAACACACACACACACACACATAACACAAAACACACATTAATAAAATAAGCCTCAACCCAAATGTTTATTATTTTCCATTATATACATGTAACCCCCCCCCCCCCCCTCCCACCTCACAATTTTTTTTTTCAAAAATATATTTTTGTTTAAATAAAGAAGTCATTTTCTGTTTACCTAGACTCTAGATAGATCTACAGTCAAGATCTCGCTGTTACAATACGGAGGATCCTCCTATGAACGCAGCACAACGACTATATCTAGATCTCTTGTGTAACAAGACTCATTCATACTCTGATAGCACCGGTAGCCCTATTGTGAAATGGTCAGTTATTGGAGTTCATATACCAGCATAAAGAGGTAGATTGTACAATATACAGTATAATGTACAATTTAGTGAAGAATGCATCTAACTTTTTGCTTTTTTTTTTTTTCTCCTTTCACTCAACTTCTTCAACTTTCATTTTCATTTTGGCATGGTGTAGATCTTGGTCTACTTAATCAAACTTAAGGTAACTTCGTGAACAGACGCACAAGAAAAACTTCGAGACTCAAGAGTTACAGTTCTTGGCTGTTTCCAAGAAACCATCCATTAAGCGGTCTCCATTCAAAATGTGTATCTCCTCTCCATTGGGCCCTCTAAATTAGCTAAAATATTTTCACATGAACGTATTTGTAATTTTCAGCCCCCAAAATTATTGTAGAACTATAGTATTCAAATCAAATTAGCCGTAATCTAACAAATTATACAAACGATCGATCGAAGGTCAGAGCTGGCGAGGAGGGCACAAGACGAGCAAGGTGTGAGGTATAGAAATACAATGTAGTACCTTTGACGAGGCTACGTCATAGAAGCTCTGATAAAAATGCTTCACTTCGTGAGACTTCGCTCACCGTCGGATCAGTCGGAAGGTTGGAGCTGGCAAGGAGGGCGCCAGACCCAATTGCCTAACTCCACTCCTCCGCCTTTTCCCTCCCTCAAAGGCCGCATTATTTAGCCTGCTGTACTGACTGAATTGATTCAATCGTTGCCACTGTCTTTTGTTGTCACCATTTATACTTGTCTGTTGTTTGTTTTCGTAACAAAAAACAAGGGCACGGCAAAAATTGCTGCGGTTGACCCTTTGATTTTAAGGGCATTACAGCAAATTGCGGCAGTCTATTTCAAGAATTGCATCAGACCTTTGGCTTTATCCCATTCCCTGCCTAAACCCACACCATAACTCTTTCAAACTTTGACTCTACTGAATATTTCAGGGGAAATATAAATCTGAATACCCACAGCAAGAAAAGCATTTGCACTCAGGGCAACAAAAATAATACCCATAATTCCAGAATACCCCAGGTCTCTTCACTTTTGACTTTTATTTTAATTACCACAGCCACCCCAAAGGACATTTTAAAACCGAATCATTATTCAACACTCTTCAGCATCAACATTTGCCTCAAACTCAAAGGTGTACGTATAGAAGTCTAAGAAGTAGAAGAGAAAGAAAATATTCCACTTCAAGCTCAATTTGTTGGTGACACAGAGACACATGAAGCTATAGCGAGCACCTAGCACATCTCTGTGATTGGCAAAGTATAGATGATGTATTTCTGAAACAGTAAATTTTCTTCAAAATGAGAGAGTGGGAGGGCATCATGTAACAGCTTTCAGGACTGCAATTGACTATTGAAACAGGAAGCATCTTTGTACAATGCCATTCCTTCAACAAACAGAATTTAAAATATAGGCTTAGTTTACTCCATATCTTTATATAGATTCTAGTCATAATTAAATGTTGGGCGTGATCTGTCGATTATCGCGCAGCGCATTTGGTAGATCGAGGAAACGCTCGACAATCCACCAATTGTTGCGCATTCTGTTGATCAGTGGATCGCGCAGCGCTTTTTGTCGATCCGTGAAATATATATACTTAGTGCGCATTCTGTCGATAAACTATGATGATGAAGTGAATTATTTTTAAAAAAGAAAATTGGTTTACTGAGCATGTCAGTCTTTGAGTTTCAGCGTCCTGTTGTTTTGCTTCCAAGAAGAGTTGTGTGTTGAACTTAAAGTGTTGACACTTGAGTGAGGCAGATAAATTGAAACGAAGATAATCGAGCACCTGCACTTAGTATTTGGACGGATGTGATTGGCTGAGTACTTCACGGGGTATTCCAAATACGGTCAAGATTTAATGGCTTGTGATAAATTGTTGTGTGTTGATTAAAAATGTATTATGTACAAGTACTGTTTTCTTTATTGTTTCCTTGAACAAGAGCACCTCGAGCACAACCAGCCTCTCCAGATTGAATAAGTGTTCGGAGTGATACTCACCGACCTATAACCCTGTTTTCAACTTCCGTTATTGCTATGTAAGTTATTGTAGCAGTGTAATTGTGTCAAAAGTCAAAAGACTGCACTCTCATTAGATCTTCCCAATAGCAGACCTACACCTACCCCCGACAACTCAGGGTCTTTCCACCACCACTACAGCATCATCAATTACTTCCACCACCATTTGTCTTACCACATGTTTAATTTGATTTTGTTGAGTGTTGAGTTTTTTGTAATTTTTTAAAAATCATATCGCACAAAACTGACAGCCGTGGCCTTCCCAACACCTCTTCCCCCATAAGCCGAGAGTGCGATATCGCTACGTGCAGTCTCATTGGTCATTGGTTGACATAGAATTAACTTTGCCTCCGGCAAGGTCAGCTCAACTTAGTTTTGTTCATACTAATGACGCAGGGAGGGCCAGTTTAGATAGATCAAGATCAAGTAACTGGATTTAAAGCTCACGTCTCAATTGTAATCATTAAAACAGACCTGCCACTCTATGAAATCTAAAAATCAGGATTTCTGAGTAAAAAAATCAGGATCTGGTGAAAAAAATCGGGATCAACGGCAAATCAGTCATAACGGCCACTGGGGATAGCATCTTTGTAGACGATCATATAGAGATCTATTAGCTAAATTACTTTTGTGCTATAACGTCATTTTTTCTTGGAAGTGGCTATTCTCACCCGCGGTGAGAATAGAAATACGATCGATCTCTCACCCCGGGTGAGACTTGCCACCGTAGGCTATTCTCACTCGGTGTGAAACAAGACCTGTTTTTCCTAATTCCGGAATACTTTTTATCCATGTGGATGATCAAATGGATAAAGGCAAAGAAAAGATTACGTTATAATAGCACAAAAGTAAGCTAATTTTATCGACTAGGCTACTTGTAGATGCTCTTATGGCTATTTCGCTTTTCAAATCGAGCCGAACTACCAGGGTCGCCATTTTGTTTTGCCCGGAAGTTCTCGCAAGATCTACTCCTCCCCTCTTCTTTCTCTCTGTCTCTTTCTGAATACTGTCTATCGGTGTGGACGGTCAAATTGACCAAAACAAAGTTAAAAAATGATGTTAAAACACAAAAGTAAATTAATTTGGTCGTCTGCAAAGATGCTACGGCTATTTTAACTTTTCTAATCGAGCCGAACTACGTGGGTCGCCATTTTGTTTTGCCCGGAAGTTCTCGCGCTACTCCTCTCTCTCTCTCTTTCTCTCTCTCCACTGCCCACAGACAAACTTCTACGTTTTAAGTAGGCTAACAGTACTACAGTAATAGAATGTTTGTTTACGGCACAGAATCTACAATTTTTCTGTTATCACAGTGTAGAATTCTGTGGTTTAGGGTGAACGTTCCACGCAAAATTGGTTGGCCTAGATCTAGGCTATACGCGCACCGGGTGAGAATAGCCAAAAGACTCGCCTGCACTATTCTCACCCGGGGTGAGAATAGAGGTGGCCTTTTTTCTTGAAAGTGGCTATTCTCACCCGCTCGGAAGTTCTCGCAAGATCAACTCCTCCCCTCTTCTCTCTCTCTCTGTCTCTTTCTGAATACTGTCTATCGGTGTGGACGATCAAATTGACCAAAACAAAGTTAAAATGATGTTAAAACACAAAAGTAAATTAATTTGGTTGTCTACAAAGATGCTACGGCTATTTAACTTTTCGAATTGAGCCGAACTACGCGGGTCGCCATTTTGTTTTGCCCGGAAATTCTCGCGCTACTCGTCTCTCTCTTTCTCTCTCCACTGCCCACAGACAAAATTGTACGCTTTTAGTAGGCTACAGTTGTAATGGAACGTTTGTTCACGGCACAGAATTCTACAATTTCTGTTATCACAGTGTAGAATTCTGTGGTTTAGGGTGAACGCAAAATTTGGTGAACGCGCACCGGGTGAGAATAGCCACAAGACTCGCCTGCACTATTTTCACTCCGGGTGAGAATAGAGGTGGCCTTTTTTTCTTAGCTGTGTGATCATCCACACAGATAGACAGTAGTCCGAAATTGGAAAAAACAGGTATTGTTTCACACCGGGTGAGAATAGCCAACGCTTGCAAGTCTCACCCGGGGTGAGAGGTCGATCGTATTTTTATTCTCACCGCGGGTGAGGATATAAATCTAGACTCTATATATATATGAAAGTGGCTATTCTCACCCGCCCGGAAGTTCTCGCAAGATCAACTCCTCCCCTCTTCTCTCTCTCTCTGTCTCTTTCTGAATACTGTCTATCGGTGTGGACGATCAAATTGACCAAAACAAAGTTAAAAAATGATGTTAAAACACAAAAGTAAATAAATTTGGTTGTCTACAAAGATGCTACGGCTATTTAACTTTTCGAATCGAGCCGAACTACGCGGGTCGCCATTTTGTTTTGCCCGGAAATTCTCGCGCTACTCCTCTCTCTCTTTCTCTCCACTGCCCACAGACAAAAGTGTACGCTTTTAGTAGGCTACAATTGTAATGGAACGTTTGTTCACGGCACAGAATTCTACAATTTTTCTGTTATCACAGTGTAGAATTCTGTGGTTTAGGGTGAACGCAAAATTTGGTGAACGCGCACCGGGTGAGAATAGCCACAAGACTCGCCTGCACTATTCTCACTCCGGGTGAAAATAGAGGTGGCCTATATATATTCTAATATATAGATCTCTATATCCACTTCCTAGATTCTATGAGATATCTAATTTAGATCTAGAATCTAGACCCAAGTCGCGGGTAAGTCTAGGACCTAGATCTAGATCTAGATATGGATTTAGATATCTAGATCTAGATTCTAGATCTAGATCTAGAATCTAACTAGAATTCTAGATCTTGATCTACTCCACCCATCAGTCTCTCGAGGACTTACCTCTTCCTTCGGGCGGCCTCGAACACTTTTTTGTGCTTGGTTTGACTTGTTGGCTTGAAACAATTTGGGGAAATGATCTTGTGTGCAATTACAGGAATAAAGCAAGAGGTAAAATAACTAAAGTATCCTCCTCCCTTTGCGTAATTGCATCAAATGTGATTCAAACTGTACACAGTTGGTGATGTCGAAATGTACGGTTGACGTCAATTTCGCCAAAGATAAGTCAACACCTCTCAAAAATAGCAAGCCACAATCGCGACAATTATTCGACCCCGGAAGTAAACAGGATTATCTTTCCAAGGGACTCCACTCTGCTCACTAACTGCTCATCTCACTCGACCTTTCACTATTTGTTTGGTGGGGTGAGGAGACAAGAACTACCAAAAAGTTACACACTTTGGGCCTACAATAGTATAAAAGTGTTTTTCGTTTACCTCCCTCGTTCCCTTAGAACTCCTGAAATCTGCCCAAATTTGCTGCTTTAAAACATCTGTTTTATTTCCCACTTTTGCTTGGGGGGCTGATTTTTAAATATATAAATCATGCTTCGGTTCCCAAGAATCATCCAAGCAGTCTCTCAGAAACTTCGCTCAGGAATAATTCTAGACGTTCAGACCACGACTGCTACCACCTGGATCCAAGCAGCTAGTTACAAAAGCCATCTCAGTATCGACAAGGTTTACCCGCACAGTGATGCTGATTTCCTTAGACAGAAGGATAGCAAGGTATTGACAATGTGAATGTCAGTGATGTGGTTGATTTTGAGCCTTCTAAATTCTTTCACAATTGTTCTCCATTATTGTTGTGTTGTGTAGTTTTGCATGCTGTACAAGCCTACTGCCTGTACTTATTGTACTTGTACTGTAGTACTAGAGATCTAGATCTAGAAGTACAGTACTAGATCTAGTTTTAGAGTGTCTAGAGTTAACTAGAGTCTACATAGCCTACTTACTAATCTTGTGCACTTTCATCTGTCCGTGTTTTAAAAACGGCTGCGGCTATTCAGACTCAAGTCTGAATAGCCTCCCGTGGCTTCAGACTCAAACTCCAATGTGTTGCGCAATCACCGGGTGTACCAGATGGGAAGCAGACAGGCAATTCGACCTTGGCCTTCCGCGGTTTCAACGATCTGACCAAAACTTTCTAGATATTACAAATTATTTAAAAGTGCGACGTCAAAAGTGAACAGCAATTAAGTCTGAAATGCTACACAACAAAGGCAATAGGGGAAGGGAAATCTCAGTTCAAAGCAGTGAAAAAAATTGTAAAATCAGAGTTTCAGAAAAACAAAGGATTATAAGTTCCATCAATAGAAGGTAGTACTAGTAGTCTAAATCCGCTGTATCTGACGAGAAAGACAATTATTTTAAAAAGCATTGATCAATTGGAAGTCCTGTTAGATATTAATAAGAAGAGAAAAATAATTTACCCTTCCAAAGGGAACGAAAGTTAGTCAATCAAAGTAACTTTGGGCTAAAGGAAAAAAGGAAAAGCTTTTCCACAGCATACTTTAATCAAATGATGTTCAAACAAAATCAGAACAAAACAATACATATATATATATTCTGATATTGTTAGACAAACAATCTACCAATATTGGAGTTTGGTTCCGAATAGCCATGGGAGGCTATTCAGACTTGAGTCCGAAGAGCCACTTCGAAAAACATTATCTGTGGCTTATTTATCAATTTATCCATGAAATTTTGTATGGCACTTCTGCAGACGATTAATTTGTTTTTCTTTTTGGGCCCTATTAAAAGCCGCTCTTTGGCTGCATGCAAAGTACAGTGTAACTAAATCTAAAATAAATCATAAATAAATGACTTTTAAGGCCTGGTTAAACGCAACGATAAATTGTACAAAAACAGGACGATCATGCGATAAATCATGAGGTGTAATCACAAAATTGTACAAAATTTGAACGATTGAACGATGGTTTGGAGACTCGGTCGAGAAATCAAACACTGCTTGATATAGATTCACTTTGAAATTTGCCGCCGCGCAGAACTAAACCCAGGGCTAAAAATTTTTTTTAAAATTATAGGTAAAAACTGATTTCATATATTCAGAATCAGCGTCTCAAAATAAGCAAAGTTGCTCACGCGGAACCTGATTTGGTGCCTTATTATGTATATAATTTTAGCAGTTGTATTATAGAGTTGATCGTCAAGGTTGAAGCTGTGCATCAAGGTCATTCGGTGCGTTGCACATCTGCAGTCAAGTCAAAGCTTATACTTTTACACACCACCCGGCACAGTATGGCCACCCTTTTCTAAAGATTGTTCTGCTATATATATCAAAATGTACAGGGAAGGGGGGGGCTCTCGTGATCTAGAAGTACAGTGTTCGCCTTTCATTCATTAGGTCCAGAGCTCGAAACCTTCACGTAGAGTGCAGTCAAATGGCCGTCGTCGCAAAGAGACATGGTGGCTTTATGATGAGGAATCTCCTCAATCGAAAGAAAATTGGAGGATAGATTGGAACGTATAAACAGACAACACAGCTCGATTGTACGGACAGTTCTCTCATAAGACGAATCTGATACAATTTATCGTTGTGTGTAACCGGGGCTTTACCGTAACGTTGCCTACAAATTGCTCAATTTTGAGACAGCGACACTGCCCTGGCCTACACTTCAAAGCTTCTAGTAGATTTCATTCCCCCACTGTCTAGACATCTCCACGTGAGTCTCGAAATTACTCACCCCATCTCTTGAATCATGTTTGTAAGGCATACACTTTAAAGTGGGGGTGCTGTGAGAAATATGTCAACTTTTTAATGTTTCAGGTGAATGGCCTATAAATTTTCTTTACTAGCTTTAGGCCAACATCGAAGAACACATTTCAGAATTTTAGTTTGCAGTGACCTTTATGAATGGACTTTTAAATTCAGTTGGTCATTCAACTTGTATGCAAGACCGGAGAAGATTTTAAAACAGCGAATTTATTTTGCCCTTTTAACTGAGGTCAGACAAAAAGTGAACAAGCTATAGTAGTCTCCGCCAAAGATCCTACCGTTTACAATCCGGGTTTGCTTTTAAAGATCCTCTGTTTTAAGAAAACAGAATTTTTACTCTATACAAAAGTCACCCCTAAGATCCCGCTCTGATTCACTCTGAAAGTCTATATTCGACTAAGATCCTGCATTTCGGATCATAATGTACAGAATAAAAACTCGGGCGGGCACAGCCGATCAACTGAGAGGGAAAAGTTGAAATCAATGGGCTGCCCATCGCGTAAAAGATCAGCCTTTCTCGTGAATGTGATCACATTTATAAGCGTTGTAAAACTTGATGAAATGATATAATGTTTGCGCCAGACGAGATCACATCGATGTGTGAACTGTCAGAAATATCGCACTCGTATGATCTGAGATCTCCACCTAAACGTACATCACTTCACTCCTGGCGTGATCTGTGAACTCTTCCCTGACCATTGCAGCAGTTTTCTCTATTCCCGAATTTGCGAGACAGACTGAATTTTAATTGGTGTAGTCACAACATAATGGTGCGTAACTACAAAGGTCGGAGATGAAAAGCTATAACTGGATAAATAAGCTTAAATCTTGAGGCTTGTGACTGGTGATAATAAGTGAAAATGGCACGCCTCATGCCACTATGCACTGTGATAGGTCATCAAGGTTAACCAGTCTTTGCCCGCTATTTGTCATAAACTCACCCGCTGCTCAAGTCAGTTCATTTTAGAGTAGAGGAAGACCATTTTACTGGTTGTGGGCCTTAACATGGGTTACCATAGATTCTTCCCTGGGTTCATCGGCTAAGATTCCGGTTCGCTTAAGATCCCACATTTTCCTTGCTCCTAAGCACCGGGATCTTAGGCGGAGACTACTGTAACTAGTGTGTATTATAATGTATTCAATTCAGTATTTTTGAACCTTTATTTTTTAAAATATGAATGAACAAAAACCTGCAAGGAGAAGATGCACGATAATATTATATATGAGAAAATCGTGAAAACAGTAATAGAGATGCATCTTCACTAGAACATACGCTTGGGTATTATGAAATTGTGTTGCAGCATCAGTGCCTTTTTCATTTTCTTGATTCTTTTGCATTATGATAGTAGTTAGTGTGCAGTAGCAAGCATGCTTGATTTTGTCATAGAGTCCCAAACCTTACGAGGTTCCAAATGATGGTGATATTAGATTTTCATGTTTAAACAGGAGAATATTGAAACTTTTGAATATTATCATGTGTGTAAGCTCATGACCTGACTTCAATGGTTACAATCAAATCGACCAGCAAGCTTATTATTAATATTGGTCTTTGTTGCTATGTACTCTTCAGGAATCACAGGGAAATGCTGACCAGTTTTCAGGATATATTCCTGTTGGTAAGTCTGCCTGGTGCTTCAAATCTGGTATTTGAACTGTCTTTGGGTGTTAATAAAACCAGTAAAAAAAACAAAAAAACTGTGTTTACAAGAAAAAAAAACCCAACTACTGTTTAAGTTGTTTTAATCTACATATTCGAAGAGACTTGTTTCCCTTTTTTTTTCATGAAATTAAATATAAGATAATTCATTTCCTCCCACTCTGCTAGTGAGAGAATGGAAAAGTATGACTTAGTGCTGTTTGTGATTATTTTTTTGTAAAGAGTTTGAATTTCCTTATGAATGTGGTTCATATTTTCATTGAGGTTATTAGGCTACTCTATTATGAAAGAAATGTGGGCTTAACAATAAATTTAAGTTTCGAAGAGAACATGCATGATACAGATGGAATAAATTATTCCTTCTTCTGATTTTCTTATACTTTTGGTTTCTTATTAAAGCATTGTGGTTTAACTCCTGTCCTTCATAGATCAGTTGAAGATCACAACTTCAAAGAGCAGTGGTCCAGGTGGACAGAACGTGAACAAAGGTAAAATGTTTTCAGAATTAGTTATTTTAATATTCCCCCACTCCCCAAGAAAGAAAAAGTATATTGGAAATTAAAAGAAAGACATACATCTTATACTTTTTGTCATTTAACTGTGTGCTTTTCAGAACTTTTCTTAATCTTACTTATATACTAATGCCTCTGATCTATCTACAATGCTGTGATTATTTTCTGTAAGTGTAAGTAAAGCATTTTATCCTTCTGTACTACTGGAAGTAATGGGGATTTATCACTTAAAGTGCCTCATTTACTCTATTTATGTATGATTTAGCACCCTGAGTACTCAGATGTTTCATATAACTCGACTCAACTTAAAAATAGACACGTTTGTGTTTTTGTGTCTACCTATTTTTCATTACTGCAGCAAGAAAGTTCTTTTATTTATATCTAATCTTCCTACATGCATTGAGAAAGAATCTACATCTTTATATATACTGTCAAACCTGTGTAAGAAGGCCACCCATTGTCAAGGAGAAAAATGGCCGTATAAGACAGGTGGCCGTCTTAGACAGGACTGATCAAGATGAATTTAAGAAGAAAAACCATTCCCATCTGAGGTCCCAATCGAAAGTAGCCGCATTTTTTGTTGTTTTTTGTTGTTGTTGGTTTGTATTTTGTTTGTAATTTTTATTTTGTTGCTGATTTTGAACAAGGGTGACAATAAAATGAAATGTATCAGACGAGGAAGACCGAGTGCCATGTTAAAACAAACACATGGGTCACCACCACTCGGAGAACGAGCAACGCTTCTGTCATAAGTTCATGTTGACGTCCTTTGTTACTTTGTTGCAGACTGGGTAAACAGTGACCACTCATCTCACTTACGATTTGTGTATGAGTTCTGGGCGGGGCTTATGGGTTATGAAGGATAACACGCTTATCTCACCAGCAGCTGAAAATTGGTAGCTATTAGTCAACAGTGGGAGGGGCCTACGCAACATGATCGGTTGGAGGGACAACCTAACAACAACGACAGGTGATTGAATTATGACGGCACGCCCACAACGCCAGGGGCCAATGCTTTATGACAAAACGTAATGGAGTCACTAAAGTGGCTGTCAAAGACAGGTGTTATTGCTTAGTGTGATAGGGGTTGTGTGTTAAATTGTGGCCGCGGCCGCGTTGGACAGGTGCCCGTTTTACACAGTTAAATTATATAGAAAAAACGCAACGGGGGAAATGGAAAGTGGCCGTTTGTACAGGTGGCCGTCTTACAGAGGTGGCCGTCAGGGCAGGTTTGACTCTAATATGTGTGTATGTATATATGTTTGTGTGTGTGTGATATGTAGGGGAATCAGGCACTTGTCGGTTTTTGGGCACATAGGGTTATTGGTATTATCTTAAAGCCTGTTCATTTGCCTTACTTTTGGGGAAAAAAAATATCCATCGATGTTGAATAGAAGTCAAAATATTTGTGATTGAAGGAGGTCAGGGTCACCTGGTTTCAGAAGTAAAATTGGCGAGAAAATGGCCGCCAAAGTTTGGTAACTTCCATAGCCTGCGAGTCCTTGGAAATTGAAAATTTTCCATTTTGAGCCTTGAATAAATGTTTTTCAATAAACTCCACACAAAAATGTGAATTTAAATAGACGAAAAAGGTGTTGAGCCAAAAAATGAAAATTATGCAAAAAATTGCCCATGTGCCAAAAAAATGCAGATTTCTTTTATTTCATTCATAATGGAAAGTCAAGAAACTGGCATTTTTCTGCAGGTCTGGTAATTTTTTTTAAATTTTTGTTTTTGGCTTTCATGTCCACTAAAGAACATATTTATGTGTGAATTTTCCTGAAAAAAATTGATTAAAGGCATAAAAGACGTAAATTTTCAGTTTTCACGAACTCTCAACCTAAGAAAATAACTCAGCTTTGGCGGCAATTTTCTCTCTAATTTTACCTCTGAAACCAGGCAACCCCCACCTCCTTCAATCAACTATATCTTAACTTGTATCCAAGATAAATGGATTTTTTTTTCATCTAAATCAATGCAAATGGACAAGCTTTAAGATGATACCAATAACTCCATATGCCCCAAAATTGACAAGCGCCACATATAATTGTTGGGTTTTTTTTGCTTGAACTCTTCTATATCTTTAAACAGTCAAGTATAAAAATACCTCTTTTACAGTGAACAGTAAAGTAGAGATTCGCTTTCATGTGGATTCAGCTTCATGGATCCCTGACTGGGTCAAGGCCAGATTAACTGAGCAGGTAAATGCGTGTAACTAATATTGTTTTAACTCTTTATTTCTGGCACGGCTCGCGGTCGGAACCACTGTACCATTGAGCCGAGCCGCTGGCTCGGGTACAGTCCTTTACGACGACTTCAACATTACATTACTTTTTGGCAATTGCCGAAAGCAGGTTTGTTTTATCGGGTATTCATTCATTAGATGAAGAACTATCAAAATAAGTTGACTTGTTTTGACTTAATGACCCATTTAGTGAAGTTTTTGTCATTTGTAGATTTAGTACCAACAGGGGGTCCAACATAGTGGGATTTTACCCCCTACAGAGATAAAGAGTTAGTATCTTTCTTTTCCTCTTTATCCCATCTCAACTTTCTCAGTCCTTTTACTATCTTGTGACAACTGTGATATCTGGTATTTAAAATACACACCAATGCAGGATGCCTGGTGCTAGTACATGTGCAAATGGACGAAAGAAGTTCTACAGTTGACAGAACATGACACTTCTCGTTGCTTTGCATGTTGAAATACATTTTGAAAACCATCAATTTTTCCCCCCCATTCCAAATCCATTAGTCAAACGACACATTTAATTTGAAATGGCATAAGCCAGATCAATCTGAAATAGTTGAAATATTAAGAAAATATAATATGTGTTTATTTTATCCAAATCTCATTTCTATTCTCCAGATGCCTTTAGCTTGTCCAATGTGTATGTTTTGCCTTTTTTTTTTTTTTTTTTTTTTTTTACACATCGCTTAAAAGAACATTTCTTTGATACAAAAAAAAAGAAGAGAGGGGGGGGGGGGGGGGTGTTCTAGGTCTCAATGTCTACTGTTCCCTTTTTTATGTGTGGTTGATGTGATTCTCCTTTAGGAACAAGGTCGAATCACCAAAGATGGCTACTTTGTTGTGCGATCGGATGCCACACGCAAACAGATGCTCAACCAAGCAGACTGCATGGACAAGCTGAGGACATTTGTCTTCAGGGCAGCCACACTACCAAAAGAGCCTAGTGCAGATGACCTCAAAGTCAAAGAGGAGAGGTAAGTGATCCATAAAGCCTTGAAGATTAAGTATCAGTCCTGTAAGTGTTCTGGCATTCGCCATTTGACTCTGACCATTTTTTTTTCAACCCACTTTGCCATTTCGTACCAAATGTCTCAGACTGGCCAAAACTTCCTAAACAATGTTGTTGGTTTTTTGTTGTTTTTGTTATGTAGGAACACAGATATGAACTAAAAAAGAGGGCGCATCTCTAGCTGCTATTTGCATTTCCCAAATAAAACGAGAATGTATGCGCGTCATATGAGCGATTGTTTGACACTCCAATCATCAAGGTTATGTGGTGCTGGGTTTTTTTTATACAAGGTGATCCAAAAAAAAGTGTGTAACTTGTTTTTTAAATATTTTCCTCCATACTGAAGTTTTTGCTTTTCAGATTTGAGCATAGCATTTGGAAGCTAAAAGGAATTTTTCTTTTATTCATTTTAGATAAGTCCATTTCATCGTTTGCTCTATAAAGTGCATAAAACAAACAACCCATTTTCAACTTTGTCCCCATTTTTGTAGCATAACGCACCAGTTCGCATTAGGCCTACCACTTAAAGTCGCAGTTATCACGCCATATTGCGAGTTACAGCAGGAGTTTTTTTTATTGAACATTACATCTCCACAAACTCACTATACCTGACATTTCGTAAGTTCTGCGCTCGGCATGGAAAGAATGCTTAGGTGCCCTCAAGACCTTTTGTGTCATGATTAGAGAAGTTCCGTCAGTTTGGATCTATAGCGAATCAGAACTAAAGATTTCCTCAAAAATAACCACTTCAGGTCGTACACACTCCATGCGCAGCCCTTTAAACGTCACTAAGGGGCAGATTTCAGTAGTCGAGTCCCATGAGATGTCTATCCGCAGACGATCTGCAGCTAGGACTTTCCTATACCACAACAATTTGCATACTCAGGACAAATCTTAATTTATGACTACCATTTTCATCTTAGCTAGGTCGAGGTGACATGAATCAAAACATGGCAATATGTTCGTGGTTCCTCGATTGTCTTGAAAAGCGGGGTCATTCCCTCAATGACATTTGGTTTATTGAAAAGCCCATTTTCATCCTGCGGGATATGTTGACTCCAAAATTGTTGTCTATTGGGCACTCCACTCCCTATTGTTTCTAGAAGCCTCTTCATAATGAATATGTACAGTGCATGTGGCTTTAAACACGCATGAGTTAGCAGGTCCTTTTGTTTGGACGCCATTCAACATTTCGAAAAAAATGTGTCAAGTTCAAAGGAGGGCATGTTGAGCACTGCTTCTAGGGATTCCAAAATGAAATCGTTAGTTTTTAAACTTTGTATATAAGAAATTAAAAATCGTTTAAATGTTACAGGGATGGAAAAATTAAATGTCAAAGAGAAAATAAAGAAAAAAGTCAACCAATCTTTTCACGACTTCCTTTACAAGATTTTTTTAAAATGGTGAACTTTGCGTTTTTGGGTGCTTTTAAAAGCACCATTTCCCATTTTCAAAATAAGTTTTTTCTTCCTGGATTTTATGTCAAACAAATTCCTTTTGAATGAATAAGAATTATATCTGTTCCAAATTACAGCATTCTAAAACAATTTCTGTGCGAGATAGTCCGAAAAAAAGTTGTACAGGTTTGTTTTTTTATCACCCTGTATTTAAAGAAAAGTTACAATCCTTGTTACTGTTTTGGCTACTTTGTCAGTTAGGCTTTCTGGTTTCTCTCTGACTCCATGATTGTATAGATCTAAATCTTGGCTCTTTGCCCTGAAACAATACTGGAACACATTTAGAAAAAAAAATTAATGATTATCCTAGCAACATTCGGGCCAGTGAGAAAAAAAATATTTAAGTGGGCATGGTTCGATAGCAATGGGGACCTTCTGTCGGATTATGTTCAGAATATCATATAGCTTGGTGTGGTGTATAATGGTAGTCCTCATTACTGATAGAGATTGAACTATAGCCACCAAGGTAAAGAGCATGTTTAAAAGTGTCATTCAAGTAGCACCAGACACATCAAAATGAGAAGTTCTGTTGGCAAGAACCAACAGATGCCAGTATTGTTTCAGTCAACAGAGGCAATGAAGAGTGGTGAAACATCACTGCCATCAAATCTGTTAAGTGCTGTCAAGTTGATTGACCATTTGTTTTTATAATCACAGACGCGTTCATTTTATTCTAATATTTTACTTTTCGCATTTGAAAATGTCTACACATGGCAATTTACAGAACTTTGGAAAAAACATTTCTGATAGAGCATGCTAGCATCTGTCATGTAGCTGTTAGGCTCTTCGCTATTGCATGCAGGATAAAGACTAAGTTCAATTCTCAAGTGGGTACCATATTTATCGAGTATTTAGTCTTTCTGCTTGGTTGTTGTATCCCACTTAGCCTGGGTTGGTCCTGACAGTAGGGTCAGAAGCCCGCCTTCTAAATGATCTAAATTGTTTTGATGCAGGTGTAAAAACACATAAATTAAAAAAGAAAAACATCTTTAAAATTGGGTGGAACATGCCCCCGAACCCCCACTAGTTTTGTTTTTCTCACGCCTGTGCCACATCGGATTTTCAAGCAATTTTTCTGAGGGCCACTGACAGGTTTGAAGTATAAAAGTAGCTTGGAACAAATTAAGAGACAAACACACAAACTCTCTCACACTCACGGGCATGCGCATACATATATGGTCGCTTTTAAGGACAAGCGGGCTAACCCAGATTTCAGGGGTTTCTAGAAATCTTGACCCACACCAAAAGTGGGCGTTGTCCTACCTAGAGGAGAAGTTTGGTTTCATTGGTGTGTATATTTGTTTGGTTATAGAGAAAACTCTTCTTGTCTATTAAAGAAACTGAACAAGGATCCAAAAACTTTATGTCCGATTTTCTCAAAACAACATTTTTAGGGATAGCCCCCTTGTGCTTAAAAGCGACCATATATACTTTTCATAGGTTCAAATGTATACTAAATTACTTGATGAGCATCAAAATAAGTTTTGTCTACATATATGATGTGTATGGGTTTTTGCACCAAATACCCAGAGATAAGAAGCTGAATGTGTGAGAGGAAAAGTTGTTGAATAAAATATTCCTTACATTTGGACTCTGGACCTTCTTTTTTTTATAAGGAATCAGTATTTTCCTAAAGCATTTTCTTATGGGATTTTATTTTATTCTGTCTGCTCAAAAGTAAGTTAGTCTGTTTTACTTTACTTCCATTATGAATACAGTCAGTAGGAGAATTGTATTCTTTTTTGTTTGACTTTACTCCACATAAGGTATAAACCCTTTGCTCATCCCCCACCCAATCAATTTTAAAGTTTCTGTTTTATGCATTTTAAAACTAGAAGATTGCTCAAAAGACTTGAACATTTTAAAAATCTCATTGTTTTGATAGTGTTAAGGAGGGTTCTTTTTATGCAGGTTTCATTTTTCTATTGTCTTAAGTAAGTTTCACACTATTCTGTTGGTGAGATTAGTAATATATTTTTTTATTTTTTTTGCATGTTAGTACCTTTATTTTCTGGTCATAGCCCTCATTTTCACCAAGAAATTTATTCCAGTTTGTGTTTTAAAATTCAGCTAGAAACATACATCTTTGTTCAGTCAAACCTGCTCTAACGGCCTGCTGTCCAAGACAATCACCTGTACAAACAGACACTTCTCACTTAGCCCTCCCCCTGCGTTTTTTTTTTCTTTATTATATTGACAGTGTCTGAGATGTCCACCTGTCTAAAGGGAACCACTTTCCTCCTCAGCAGTGGGTGGCCAATTGTATTTTCTTAATTGACAATCTGTAGCAAAATAAAAAAAATTGACCAAGCAAACCCGCTCTTGAACATTGATTATCATATGTCAACAGGCTCTTGTATGTAAAATCTAATCTTGTTCTTTGCAGATTATCTAAAGCTAAAGCTGGTGTGCTGAGAGAAAAGCGAGAAAGATCACTCATCAAACGAAACAGATCAGCCCCAGATATGTGACCCGCGGTAGTTAATAGACAATGAGTGTTGTTATGTTTGTCTTCTTCACATTCATTCTTTTTCATCCCGAGCATTGTTAAATAATGAAGAAGTCATATTTTTGCAGAATGCTTTAGGTTCAGTGTGTTTGAAAAGTCTGACTTGTTTGCCTGCATTTTGGAATATTTATAAAAATTCAATGATTTTCGGTACAAAACACACAAGCTTGAGAGAAGATGAAATAGTTGTTTTGACTATTACTTTGCTCATCTTCTACTGCTTTATTAGTTATGAATACTGACTGCTAAGTAAAAGTATTGAAAGGGGTGGAGTGACTCTCGAAATTGACTGGTGTTTTTTTTTTCATTTTTCTCTTGTTAAAGCATTTAGTCAGCCACTTGCTGTGTTGATAAATTTATGTTTAGAAAACTCTTTGGATCAAGCCAGTATGGATTGTTTACAAGTTGTGGTTCTCTGATTGTGTATGTAAGTATGAGAATATGTTGGTTTCTGGTGAAAGTCTACATTTTTTTTACTGATCTTGTAGACAATTACCGAAACCTTGTGTGAAATTACTGCTCTATTTCTTAGATGTCTTTTGTGAGTGGGATAGGATTTGGGTTTTTTTGTTTGTTTGTTAATGTTGTTTGATAGCAGAAGACTGAAATGGAATGCGCAGTTAATAAATGATTTATATCATAATATGTTTGCCTTTTGTTGTGATGTTTTTGAAATGTGTACTCTGGTTCTCTAGATGATTTATTTTCTGGTTGTCTCATGGGTTTTGTTTTGTTCGAAGGTCTTACTTGGTGGGAATATGATTCAGCTTGCTGAACTCAAAAGCTACAAAGGAATATCATTCCTCATCCTTCAGAACTTTGATTACTGGCGACGAAACAACTCTTAGGTCTAATGGTTTTATTGATTGGAAGTGTCTAAGGCTTTAAAATATAGTTGTCTGGCACAAAATTGTGAACTGCAGAGGGTTATAATTACTAAGAAGTAGATGTAGCTTTTTTTTATTTCTAAATTAAAGATGTTTTGTTTTTTTCAACTAGGTTCCAAGGAAGAAGTGTGAAGTATGTGTGCATTATTAAGTGGAAGTGACATTGAGACAAACTTTTTCTCATTAGCAAATACCTTAGAGATGATGCCCTTCAAAGTACCACACCACAAAGCTGACTTACTTTACTAAGTTCACTAGAGGCTGCAATCATTTTATGTACTCTATCTGTGGGTTCATAGTAGGCCTACATTTTCAGTTAATTAAAGATACATTTTCCCTTTTATGATGTTTCATTCTTATTTGATCTAGGGCGGGGGGAGACCCCAAGGACTCTTTTAAGTCTGGCTTCTGTGGTATAATGATTAGGCTCTTTATCTTGAATGCTAAAAATGTGAGTTCAAGTTTCAAGTGCTTAGTATCAAATTATATTGTTGCTTTGGAATGAAAGGACATTTCTGTTTGGCACCTGTTTTACAGGATGATTAAAAATTTTGGAAGCATTAGGCCTACTTATTTTTCATTCCATGGCAACAATATACAATAATAAACAAATGACATATGTGAGGCATCGTGGTGAAATCTGGCGCTCGTCAAAATAATTAAATCAAAGATATCGGCATGTTTCCTCCAGTTTGACCATTTTTTTGTAATTTTTGTTTTTTGGCTCTCAAGACCTTTTATGTTTATATAAAAACACATTTCCATGTGAATTTTACTGAAAAACATTAATTAAAGGCTCAAAATATGTCATTTTTCAGTTTTCAAAGACTCTTTAGCTATTGGAGTTACCAAACTTTGGCAGCCATTTTCTCGCTAATTTCAACGCTTAAGCCAGGTGAACTCACTTCCTTCAATCACAAATATCTTGGGTTTCATTAAAGATTAATGGATATTTATTTCTTTGAAAGCAAGGCAAATAAATCAACTTTCTGATGTTACCAATAACTCCACATGCCCAAAAATTGACGAGCGCCTGATTCCACCGCGTCTTGACATATATATGTATACAGGAGATTAAGTCAGAACACGGAACAGTTCATAGCTTTTTCAGATTTATTTTTATTCTAACACAGAATTTGTTTTCGGTTTGACAAGACCCAAAGTTTTTGTAAAAATCTTGTGCATTCACATTACAAAATTTTCTAAAAGGATGAAAATAAGTGGATGAGGACTGGTAAAATTGGTGTCAGAATATTTTTTTATTAGTGACATTAATGCTGTGTCCAATCATAAAATTGTAAATAATTTTTTGTTCTTTTATTATGAGACAATTTTTTTTAAATTGTTTTCAAATAGCTAGCAGAGACTAATATTTTTTTTTAGCAAAACAGTTACTATCATCAAGCTAAAATAGATTGTTGAATACTGTAGAGTACTTTATATTATCACAGTTCAATTCAATGGAATTGGGACAAAGAGACGGAAACACTGGCTTCATTCATCTAAACTCAATGTTCAAACCATGGGCTTATGTACAACATGAGGGATAGAAATAAGAGAACTAAAAAGGCAAGAGTGAACGGAAAGGTTGAGAAAAGGCAAATGTGTTCAAGGCAAAAAAAAAGAATCAAACAAAGATGTAATGAATACCTCGCTATTGTTAGTCTCCCATTCATTTTTTTCTTCTTGATGTTCATGAAACTCAGTCATGAAAGCAAGTTGATTCTCCATGGAGGCATCGATGTATAGTGATCAGCAGAAAGATTTTAATCAAACAGTCAAAACATTTTGTAAATGTCATGTATGAAAGAAGTTACACATTTTCATCAATCACATGAAAAAGTAAGTAAAAATCACGAAACAAATTGTTTCAGTTACAATAATTTAATATAATATTTAATTCAGCAGTGTAGTTTTGGAAACCTCACAGCCTCATAAGGGTTATGAGACTCCCAAAATTGTTTACATCAATGTCTGAAAATCTTTAATAGATATATTGTTTCAAAAGCAAACGGTTTTGTCTATAACTATAAATATAAAGCACAATAGAAAACAGGTTTTGTAACTTTTTAACAGTCTTCCATTCCAATGGTCAGGAAAGGTACTGAAAGAGATGAGTAGGTTTTGTACAAGTCGGATTACATTGAGCAGAGAAAAAAAAAACTAGCAACAAAGGTGTATTCCTAAACTTCAGATGCACGATGCAGGCCAGTGATATTGCAAGCATAATGTTTTAAAAAATCTGCACTCTGTATGCAAATACATCATAATGTAAAAAGGAACAAAAACGGAGAAAGAAACATTCAAATGGAATGTTCAATAATACTGATCAAAGCTCCCAGGTAGCTTTTATATAGAATAAAATCTTTTAAACTTGTATAAATCTGATATATTTATTATACTCTTATATTTTGCACATTTGGTTTGTTCCAAATTATATTGTTTTCCGGAACGACAACATAATCTTGAGATGTAATCGAAACGAAAGGTCTCAAGCATTTTTTTCTTCTGTTTTATTTTTGTAGCTCAAACAGTTCGCATATTGAAAATTTTGCTTTTTAAAAATATTGAATCGTCCCTTTCTTCAAGCTGAAGGGTATTTTCAGAGAGGTCTACAAGAAAATAAGGGGAATAAAATATCTCCTTTTTGTCACTATCAATAAAAGAACATCTGAATGAAACAAAAGAAAAATGAGGAGAATGTTCCAGCACGCTGTTTTATGCATGAATTAATGGGAGTTTTTTCAAGATTGATGAGACTTAATGTGTCAAATGCTTGTACCTTTGATGGATGGAATTTTCTTTTGTCAGCCGTGAGTAATGTGTTCCCAAAACCTGAAAGTGTAAACACAAAATCTAAATAGCTTATTTGTGTATAATTTGTAGACCCTGTGACCCCCTAAAATATACTACCAAACCATCTTTTGTTTATGATTTATTCATCAGAAATATAAAGCAACCGGCGTACGCGTGGCACTCTTAGCTCACTCGCTCGCCTGAGGAAAAAAAAATGCAGCGGCAACAGCAGCCTCTCTGTATCCACCCCTATATCTATCTTAGACAGACACGATGCGTGGTGCCATTGGGAAAGTTTTCCTCATGGCCAGGCACTTCTCGCGGTCAATGAACAGGCTGTTGTTCTTGATGCTCAGGTCCTGCTCCAGGGCGGCCTTGGTGCGCAGCAGAGCCTGCAGGGCATTCTCCGCCTCACGCAGCTTGTGCTGGAGGTTGTCCACGGTGTCCGTGATCTCGCCCACCTCCTCAACAAGTCTGAAACAACATGGTTGTATTTGTGAAAAAAATTTTTACAACAAATAAAAAAAAAAAAATAGTGAAACGCAGTTGAAATTGTCCAAGACGACCATTGTCGTTGAGAAAAGTATTTTTCTTCAAATTCACACTAGCCCTCTTATATTTTTATAGCCAGACGGTATTGGGAGTCAAAAGTTAAGGCACTATAGGACTGCACAAGCAACAGCAATGTGCAAATGGCTGGAGGGCTTTGCTAACACAACTTGCTTGTTTGCTATCCCCGTATTATACGGGGATAGCAAACAAGCAAGTTGTGTTAGCAAGTATGTCTCTCTGGCTAGCCTTTCCCCAATCAACGCAAAATGATTTGGTTTCCCTGATAATTTACTTCAACTCAAACAAGCTTTAAAAAAAGACAGACAAAACTAAAATTATGACATGGCTTTTCTGTGGGCCTACCTGTGCTGTACGGGGTCGCGGCAGAGCTCCACGTTGGGTCTCCTGAGACGGGTGTCAAGGCGGGTCTGGGCCACCTGCATGGGCTGCTCCTTGTCCTGGATGGCCTTCTTCAGCAGCTCAATGTTCTTCTCCATGTCGAAAATCTCTTGTAAGACCTGTACAAAGTACCCAAGGGAAATATTGTATTTAGGCTTGCCTGCATAAAGTACTGTACCAAACGAAAATGCTGTACAACAAAGCACTCGTGTAATGATTTAATTCATGAGTAATCTTAAACTATCAAACAAAATATGTAGAAGCAGAAATATAAGTAACTCATTAACTGGTACATGTATATAAGCTCCTCAAACGATAGGAGATTTTTTTTTTTTATCAAGAATCTCCATCTTTGTGCTTGGACGTTGTGTCCCTGATTTCAGCTTAGGTTGGCCTTGCCTATGTCCTGAATGACCCGCTACACAACAGACTCTGTTTCTTGATATAAATGCTCATTCAGTTTCCTCAGTTTTGGAAGAGGTTATGTCTGTGCAGCGTTGTGTTTCATCTACTTTGAACTTGGAGTATTGGGATGTCTTGTGCTCATGACACCTAGAAGTGGGGGAGGGGGGGATGGGATGGTCGGGGGTCCATATCTGAGAAAACAAATTGCCATAAGCAAGCAAATTATAAAGTTTGTGGACTGACCTTGGACAGGTGGGTCTGGATCCTGTTCCTGGCGTCAGTGGTCTCCTGTGAGCGCTGGTTGAGGGCCACATTGACAGAGTTCCATTCCTGCCACATTTCGTTGTTGCAGGAGTTGATCACGGATTCGATCTCGTTCCTCATGTTCTTGGAGGCGGCACGCTCCGACTGGGACCTCTGGATGTTGTTGTTGCTGTACTTAGCCCAGGTCTCTGGTACAGACATCCTGAAAGACGAGAACAAAGTCAAGACATGAACAAATAACATGAAAACAAAATAAATATGAGGCACGCGGTAGGCCTATATAACTTTTTCTCCAGATAGCTGTCCATTTTGTGCAACTGACGTGTGGACTGGTTAGTAGGCCTAAGTTATGTATGTGTGTGTGTGTGTGTGTGTGTGTGTGTGTGTGTGTGAAACATCCATTGTCCTTTCAGAAACAAAACATTGTGGAAGTTAGATATTCAATTTTTCTTAATGTTAATAGTAATAATAATATTAGAAATTAGTTGCCACTTTTGAGGCTTTTTTTAAACAGTGATAACAGAAACAGAATCTATTATTAAGCACAGTTAAAATTTGTAATGTAGTTTTGACACTGCTTGAAACTGACTGTGTAAATCGGTTAACTGTGTAATCATCTGACCTACCCTGTTTCGAGGATTATAGTCTGCTGTGTTCTGAGACAGAAAGTAGTAGGGCCTACGTGCACTTTTTTTCAATATTTGTATTCATTATAATCACAGTAACCTCACCAAAGCTCCATAAAAATACTCCTTTAGAAAACCCTGGGTGAAAATGTATTATAAAGTATAATATATACCAATTAGATTCTGAAAAAAGAGGATAACTGAAGTAGTATACCCCTTCTACTTTTTTTCAATGTGTCTTTCGTCTTAACTCGCTTCTAGTGTAAAGTACCCTTTCTGATTTTGACTGGTTGTGAATTGTAACTCAGCATTCATTATCGATATGTCTCCAAGTTTCAAAGATTGGGGGTGGGGGCTTTTGTGAAACACCACGACATACATGTAATGGAACATACGTGTTGTCAATGCGGTGGACCCCATCGTGGTAGGCGATGCCCCGGCTGGCATTACGAAGGCCGTGGCAGTTTGTGTCCAAGTTCTCCGCCACAAACTTGTCACTTGAGTCCTTCTCGAGCTCATGCTGAGCGGCACGGTTCAGTCTGCGAGTAAGAGAGAGAGAGAGAGAGAGAGAGAGAGTCAGGAAACATGATACTGAAATTAGCGTCTTGATAAAAGATAGAAAAAGGTGATGATTTTTTTAAAAATACAAATGAAAGACAGTGTCTTTTAATGTGATTTAAACCTTGCTAAAGCTCAAGAAATGTGAATACACTCGTATAACAGAAATTATAATAATCCATTTATAAATATGAACTTTTGAACTCCTCACCCCAGCTGCACGTTGGCACGGTCGATGGTGTTCCTCATCTTCTCCTGGCATCGCTTGATGATGTCCACTTCCTGGTGAGCAAAAAACGAGAAATGATGGAGATTTGATAGTGAACTTATGAATAGATGGAAAAGTCTGAAAACCTCGTAGGCTTTAGCAAAAAATAGAAAGGGGAAGAAAGCGAAACCCCAACGGTACGTGTCTGACGTTGTTGCTCAACGAGTCAAAAATGGTGTCTCGTGCACCACTGGTAGATCCTACTTCTTTTCTGTGCCCCTTTAATTTAGTTAAAGCACGATCTGTTTTTCCTACTTTCTTACAGCACTAAACTGTCATATCTCTTTATTTAAAATAAATACTTATCCATCACGTCGATTTTGAAAAGTGAAAACGAAACTAAAGTCGATAATACTTGTTTAATTTGTGGATTTACATAGTAGGCCACATTGTACTCATATATCTATAGGGTGCTCACCAAGTCAGACGGTGATGCTTTCCCCTGTGTTTCCATAACTTCCCCCCCCCCCCCTTTTGGACAAGGTAAAATGTTTGAACTCTGACCTGTTGGTGGTCAGATGGTGTCACTGTTGGGTCATACTTCCTTTCTTTCCTTCTGTCTTTCTTGTATATATATAGGTGTTGCTCTTTCCCTGCACTAAGTGACTGTTATTGCGTGGTTCACTTGACTCCGAAGTCTGAACCCTGACCCTTGTACATGTACTGACCTTGATGAGCTCCTTCTCGGGGTTGTCGTGCACGAGGTCGATGGACTGGCGCTTCTCGCGGTGGTACAGGCACTCCTGAGCGATGTGCAGGGGGTTCTCCGTCTCGGCCAGGCATTTCTCCAGGATACGCTTAGCCTAGTGGGAAACGGGGAAACAAACGGTTCATGTTTCATCTGGTTAAACATCTTAAAAAGTGCGGAGGAATTTCTTCAACCCGCCATATTCAATTTACTTGATAGTCTTTTGTTTCATTCCTTTCAATTTTATTAGTGTTTTCAATTTACTGACCCATAATCATAATGAAACAAATGTCAATAGGGAAATCAGTACTTTTTTTGTTGTTGTTGTTGAGGGGGGGGGGTCAATCTCTATGCCCCTTATCGCTGTCCTATTATTAAGTATTTTATTCCGGTATGTGATTTCATTTGAGTCTGTTTTGAGAGAAATAATATAACAGTGAGTTTTGGAGAATACAAGAAATAGGATCGTGGAAAACAGACATGTAGAACTTGAAAGACACAGGAATGGAAGGCCATGATCAACAATGCCATTAAAAGACACCGCACTGGACCAAATTTCTTTTTCATTTTTTAATCAATGTTTAAGAATGGAAATGGGTGATGATGTGTATTTAATTGTGAATTTTGTTATTGTTTTTGTTTTAAATGGTGACGCTTTAAATCAAGAAAATACAATTTTAAGTTTCTGGAAAAGAACAAACTCAGTTTTTATCCTCTTATTAATCTTATATTCTT